TGTTTTCGTCGTCTGGACGACCTGTTCCGCCAGCGCTTTGGCCCGGCGCCCGACCTCCCGGACTGGCACAGCTTGCTTAGGCGTAGCATTCGGATTTTTGACTTGGACATGGATGCCATTGTAGCAGCCTTGCATGTGATGTATGCCGATGACTCTAGTGTGCTTCCCTCTTATTACCCCGTGTTGCCTAGTGTAGCTGTGCCTAGCGTAGACTCCCCTGCTGCGTCAGGCGTAGGATCTCCTGCTTTGCTTAGCCTCGGTGCTTCCACCGCTTCACTGTCGCCCCGCGCGACTGCTGCGCTTTCCTTCACCTTGGACTCTGGCGCCTCCCGGTGTTTCTTCCGCGACTCCACGACGCTGACGCCGCTGCCTGTTCCTGCTGCAGTTACTCTTGCTGACCCCTCCGGTGGTCCCGTCTTTGCCCGCAGTTCCACCTCCCTTCCCTGTCCGGCGGTTCCTTCAGGTTCGCTCACCGGTCTGCATATCCCCTCGTTCTCCAGGAACCTAGTTGGTGTCGGCTGCCTCCAGGACCTTGGCGTCACCACTACGTTCCCTGGTCACGAGCGGTATGCTGTCTGTACCGAGGCCGCCACTGGTGCCCCCCTTACCACTTTCCCCCGGGACCCGGTGTCCGGCCTGTTCACACTTGACACCGCGACGTCCCCGGCTGGGGCTTCCCCCCAGGTAGCTGCGTCCACCCAGGTTGCTGCTGCGTGCTCCTGTCGGTCCCTCACTCATCCGACTCTCCTTTGGCACCACCGCCTTGGTCACCCTGCACTCCCGCGTCTGCGTCACATGTCCCAGCACGGTCTCGTCCTTGGTCTCCCCGGTTCGTTCCCTGAGTTTCCCTCATCCCCCGCCCCACCGTGCACGCCTTGTGTTGAGGGCCGGCTCCGTCGTGCCCCTCACTCCTCCTCTTTTCCCCCTACCACCGCACCCCTGCAGACTCTGCACATGGACGTCTGGGGCCCAGCCCCGGTCCATGGGCCGCGTCGCGAGCGCTTCTTCCTAGTGCTTGTCGACGACTTCACCCGTTACACCACCGTCTTTCCCCTGGAGCGGAAGGCCGACGTGCCTGACGTTCTCATCCCCTGGCTTGTCTCTGCTCGTCTCCACCGCGGTCTCCCTGCCTTGCGCCTCCACTCCGACCGGGGTGGCGAGTTCGCCTCAGGTGTCCTTGGTCGCTTCTGTCGTGCGGAGGGCATCACCCAGACGTTTACCCTGCCGGACTCCCCGCAGCAGAATGGGGTCGCTGAGCGACGCATCGGTTTGGTCATGGAGGTGGCTCGCACCTCCATGATCCACGCCGGTGCACCCCATTTTCTGTGGCCGTTCGCCGTGCGCTACGCCGCTCACCAGCTTAACCTGTGGCCGCACCCCCAGCGGCCGCAGGTTTCGCCGACCCTTCTGTGGACCGGGTCCCCTGGTGACGCGTCTGCGTTCCACGTCTGGGGCTGCCTTGCTCACGTTCGTGCCTCTGGCACGGACAAGCTCACTGCCCGCACCCTCCCCTGCGTCTTCCTCGGTTTCCCCCTCGACGCGTCCGACTGGCACTTCTACCACCCGCCGTCTCACCGTTTCTTTCACTCTCGCGACGTCACCTTTGACGAGTCCGTCTCCTTCTTCCGCCGCTTTCCCCACCGTGGTCCCCCGGTTACTCCCCCCCTGTTCCTGGTTCCTCCCTCCCTGGTGGCCCCTGCCCCTCCCCCCCCCCGCCCCCCCGTCCGGCCCCCTCTGGTGTGTCTCACGTCACCCCCCTCCCGTCGGTCGTTCCGGTCGACGAGTCTTCTGACTCTGGTAGTCCTTTGGCGCAGTCCTCGCCGTCTGTCCCTCCCCCGGTGTCTCCTCCTCCACCGCCTCCGCAGCCGCCGTCGCCGCAGCTGCTGTAGCCGTCGTCTCCGCCGCCGCCGCCGTCGAGGCCGTCGCTGCAGCCGCCGCCGCCGCCGCCGCCGTCGTCGCTGCCGCTGTTTGTGGACTCTGGGGGTGCTGGAGTTGAGGTGGGTACTCGTCCCGGGGCTCCTGTCGTGGCTTGTCCCCGCGGGCCTGGGGGTGGTACCGGTGCTGGCGGTGTTTCGGGCTCTGGGGGTGTCCCTTCTGGGGGTGCCGGTGTGGAGGGTTCGGGAGGTAGCCGTCGCGCAGCTTGTGGCCCTGGCGTTGGTGTTGTGTCGCCGCAGCAGCAGTCCCCGCCGGTGTCCGCCCTCCGTCTGCTCGGCCTTCCGTCCCCTGACCCTGCGCCTGTTCCTCTCCGGCCGTCTCCCCCTCTTCCCGTCTACGGCCCCGTGTTCCCTCCGCCGGACTCGTCCCCGGCTCGTTTTCCCCCTCGTTCCCCACCCGTGTCCCCTCCTCTGTCTCCCGACCCGACGCCGCCCTCTCACGTCTGGTCTCGCCGCCCCTCCCGTGCTCGTCCTGTCTCCCCCGTCCCGCGCACTCACCCTATGTTGCTCCGCTCCCACGCGTCTCGTCCTCCCCTCCTCCCGTCTCCTCCTCCGTCCTCTCTTGTCGTTGCGTCTCCTCCTCTGTCTGACTACTTTCGTGCCGCTCGTCCTCTTGTTCCTCGGGTCCTTGCCTCTCTCGTTACCGACCCGTCTGTTCCAGTGTCGAGTCTTGACGCCCTTGTCGCTGCGGTCGCTGACTTCGCCTCTACCCGCCGCCTTGACTACGCCTCCGCTCTGGTCTCTGACCCTGCCTGTCCTCCGTCTGTCGGGGGTGCTCCTGCCCTCGGCAGTGACGTCCTGGAGGACCGCCAGTTTGAGCTTGCTTTCCTGTCCGAGGCTGCTCCCCATCTCTGTTCCATGCTGCTAGTCCCTGAGGGTGACCCAGACGCTTTTGACATCCCGACCCCTCGTACTTACGCTGAGGCGGTTTCGGGACCTTGGGCCTCTCAGTGGATAGCTGCCATGGAGCAGGAGATGGCATCTTGGAGATCCACCGGCACCTTCGTCGACGCAGTTCCCCCACCTGGGGTGAACGTGGTCGATGGCCGTTGGCTCTTCAAGGTGAAGCGCCCTCCTGGAGAGCCGCCTGTGTTCAAGGCGCGTTACGTGGCTAGAGGCTTCAGTCAGCGCGAGGGGGTGGACTTCTTTCAGACTTTCGCTCCTACCCCGAAGATGACTACTCTTCGGGTTCTGCTACACGTAGCGGCTCAGCGTGACTACGAGCTTCACTCCCTCGACTTCTCCACTGCCTTTCTTCAGGGCAGCCTTCACGAGCAGGTCTACCTGCGTCGTCCTCAGGGCTTTACTGGCACCTTCCCCCCTGGGACCCAGTGGCTTCTGCGGCGCCCAGTCTACGGCCTGCGCCAGGCGCCTCGTGAGTGGCACGACACGCTGCGTGCTACTCTTGCTGACCTGCAGTTCTTTCCGTCCTCTGCAGACCCCTCGCTCTTCGTTCGTGCTGGCTCGACTCCGTTCTACATCCTCGTCTACGTAGACGACCTGGTCTTTGCCACAGCTGACAGGGACGCACTGGCCTCCGTGAAGGCAGAGCTGCTGAAGAGACACACCTGCACTGACCTTGGAGAGCTGCGCCGTTACCTTGGCTTGCAGATCTCCAGGGACAGAGCCGCCCGCACCATCACCCTGACTCAGTCACACTTGGTGCGCCAGGTCCTTCAGAGGTTCGGCCTTCAGTTCTCCTCCGCACAGCCCACCCCTCTTCCTCTGGACCACAGACTCTCCGCTCCAGTTCCTGAGGAGTCGGTAGATCCCAGTGGTCCTTACGCTGAGCTAGTGGGTTGCCTCATGTACCTGATGACTTGCACTCGCCCAGATCTCGCATACCCTCTCAGCATCCTGGCTCGTTTTGTGGCCACAGGCAGACACCGACCTCAGCACTGGTCTGCCGCTAAGAGGGTTTTGCGTTATCTTGCAAGTACATCGGGCATGGGGTTAGTGCTAGGCGGACGCAGGCCAGTGGTCCTTACTGGACACACAGACGCTTCTTGGGCAGACGACGCCGAGACGCTCAGGTCTTCCCAGGGCTACTGCTTTAGCCTTGGCTCAGGTGCTGTCTCGTGGAGAGCTACCCGCTCCTCGTCGGTTGCCCAGTCCAGCTGTGAGGCTGAGATCTACGCCGGTGCCATGGCGGCACAGGAGCTCCGCTGGCTGACCTTCTTGCTCACTGACTTAGGTGAGCGGCCTAGCTCTGCCCCGGTCCTGTACGCTGACAATAGGGCCATGATTCTCCTGTGTCAGGAGCCTCGACTCGAGGGCAGAGCGAAGCACATCCAGCTGCGGTACTTCCTCCTGCGCGAGCTACAGCAGCGGCGCCAGGCTCGCGTAGTACACTTGGCCTCCGGTGCCAACACAGCTGATATCTTTACGAAGGCGCTTGCGCCTAAAGATCATCAGCGGCACTGTTTACAGCTTGGTCTGGTTCCTGTAGTCTCTCACTTACTCGGGCCTTGACTTTGTACTGTCGTATATATATATATGTATACACTCAGACTGGACTTGTGTCCTCTCACAGTGGTTGGACTAGTAGTGCCGCCCTGTACTCGTTCTTGCCTTGTCTGTACTCCTTCTGACTTGTCTTTTAGACCCTTGTCTCAGAGGCTGGACTAGTAGTGCCACCCTGAGCTACTTGTCTAGAACATTCCCCTATGCAGTCCAGGGGGTGTGTCAAACATGTGTAGTTATCATGTTTGTATAGACTGTATAGGGTCACCTTCTAGAGAGTACAACATTTAGGTATATGTTTGTGTACTCTCTCTCTCACATTATTCAATTCTAGGTTTGATACTCTCATCCAGCTGAATGCCCACGAATGGAGATGCGTCAATGTGCCTCACAGTTTACCGCGACTTGCGACTAGGGCAAAGGTAAACTGTGCAGCTTGTGGGCCGAACAGCCACATGGGTTGCGCGAAATGCGACCTTGTTGAACCTCGGGTTAAAAACCTACTGCACACCCATGGAGCTCTTGAAAAAACTGAGCTGTGTGAGCGGTCAGTCGCAACTTCATCCGCCGAGCATCTGACGCCAAATCAATCGTCGCGCACCAATAACGTAGCAAAGCTAGTACTTCGCATTACAGACAATTTCGGGTCCCATACCATTTCGGAAATAGAAAACGCACCAAAGGGTCTGCCCCTAAACGAAACATTTTTTCAAGAGCTCCTCAGGTGTGCTATTCTAGCCTGTGGTTTTAAAGAGGGAACTGTGAGTTGACTCAAAAGTCAGCCCATAGCATTCCATTCCATTCCAAAGCCTCTGTATCATGGTGCAGGTCCCAGTCTGTCTTAGAAGGGAAGCACACAGAAGGGCCAGCTCTCAACAGGAGTGTCTGGGCTGCTACAAGGCAATGCCCTGCACTCAACTGTGCGGTTGTGTGCCCAGAAGAGACTGGTGTCCTCCATCAGCTTAACGGTGGCGTTGCAGGGCGCCTCATGCACTTCCACCCCCCGCGACGTGTAGTGGTTCAGGTGGAGCACCTCTGGCGGCACTGTTGGCCTGGACTCCGGGGGGGCAAACGCCTGGTGAATACCCACCGTGCTGAACGGGCTGGGTTGGGTGGATGGGAGAAGAGGAGATGAGGAGAAGAGAAGAGGAGAAGAGGAGATGAAAGGAGGGATGTGCAGAGATGGAATTCACTTCTGACGCGCCTCAAACATGTTGCGCTGGACTCACAGCCCAGGGGAAGCAAACGCCTGGTGAATGCCCACTGTGCTCCGAGGGTAAGGGGGAAGGAAGGGTGGAGGGGCAGGGGTTGGGGAGGAGGATAAGACAAACGAGGGGGGGGGGGGGGGAGGGGGGAGGGAGAGGGAGCGGTGGTGGAGGTCTAGGGTTCAAATCCCGCTTGGATGACAGGAGGGACGCGCCTAAAACATGCCGCCTTTGACTCTGGTGGTACAAACAAACATGTGGTAATCAACCACCGTGCTGACAGGGAGGAGGGAGAGGGGTGGGCGCGCTCACCAGGGCAGGATGGTGTGAGGGTTGACTACCAGCTTGTCGTACCAGCTTGTCGTGCCACCCCACCCAGCCCCTGGTGTGCCACATGGGCTCGCTACACCGCCACACCGGGTGCGGTGTTTGAGGTGCGAGAAACACCAGCGCTAGTGGGTGGCAGTTCACACAGCCACACTCACTAGGGCAGGATGGCGTGCGGGTTGACTGCCAGCTTGTCATGCCACCCCACCCAGCCCGCAGTGTGCCACATGGGCTCCTTGCAGCGCCACAGAAGGCGGTCCGACACTGGATCCCCCCGGTTCTCCTTCTTCACTCCCCAGAAGTTGAACCGCCGCAGCTGAATGCTCTGCCACGTGGGCAAGAGGAGAAGGGATGGTGGGCAACGAGAGACCAAAGGGAGGAGGGGGAGGGGGAGGGGGAGGTGGGGGGGAGGATCTGAATGCACCAACACGGCAGGCAACTTTTGAGTCGACTCAAAAGGGGGAGGTGGGGGGGAGGATCTGAATGCACCGACACGGCAGGCAGTCTCGCGCAGGACCTTCGTGTGATAGTCATTGCGTTGAGAGTGGACTCAGTACAGGACCTACCCGCACCTCCTTAACGCCCCAGGCGTTGAACGGAATCGCCTCAGCTGAATGCTCTGCCGCGTGCAGCGCAGGAGAGGAGGGGGAGGGGGGTTGGGGAAAGGAGGAGGTGGGTGGGTGGGTGATGATATGGGCATGGGTGATGGAAAATGCAGCACCACAGAAGCCCGTCCGGCAAGTAATCGCCCCACATGCACGACACATGCCGCACGCACAAGCCATGCAGCATGCACGAGGCATGCGGCATGCATGAGGCATTTAATAAACTCACCCAGAGCGGCTCCTTGCTGCCTTGAGTGCGTCTGTGTGGTAGACCGCCATCCTCGCTAGAAGCAGCTTCAGGAAGCCAATAGCTTATGTAAGTGATTCTCTACAAGCTCACCCGCAGTGGCTCCTTCTGTCCTTGATTGCGCATGTGGTTGACCTCTATCCTCGCTAGAAGTGGCTTCAAGAAGCCGCCAGCTGGCGGCGGGTACCAGACGAACTCATCGCTGTCGATCTGCAGCTGCCACCTGTCGCCCACCCGCCGCCCCAGCATCATGCAGTGCTCTTATGCAATGAGCTGATCGTAAACGTCCGGGAACTGGCTGGGGGGGGGAGGGCAGGCGGGGGGCGAGGGGGGGGGAGGGTAGTGGAGGGACGAATGGGGACAATGGACGGATGGGAGGTATGATGTAGTGCTCGTAGGCTATGAGCTGATCGAACATGTCCGGGAACTGGCTGGGAGGGGGGGAGGAGGAGGGGGGGGGAGGAGGAGGAGGGGGGAGGAGGAGGGGGGGGGAGCGGAGGGGAGAAGGGCAGTGGAGAAACGAATGGGGACAACGGATGGATGGATGGATGGATGGATGGATGGATGGATGGCACAGGACATGCAGTGCTCGTAGACAATGAGCTGATCGAACATGTCCGAGAATTGGCTGGGGGGAGGGGGAGAAGTGGGGGGTTGGGGAATAGTGGAGGGACGAACCAGGACAACGCTGATCCCTTCAGCATCATGCAGTGCTCCCTAGTTGGGGGTACACTCACTACTACTCACTACGCACCGCTTGAGGCAGACCCACCGCTTGAGGCAAACTCACCGCATACAGTCTGAGGGTCTTGCCGGCATACTGCCCTTGCCGATAGAAAACCTCGCTTCAGGGGGGAGACGGCAAGTGCACCACCTGCCTGCCCCCTCGCAATGTATGTACCGCAGGAGGAGGGTGCGCGCATGCGTGACGTCGCGGTCGTAGACATAAATGCGGTCCACGCCCATGAGGAGAGATGCGTCGATCCACTCTAGCAGGCGGTCGTCTGACACGGCAACGCCGTCGGAGAACATGTGGCGGAAATGCAAGGGGCGCAGGCAGATGGTCACCGCTCCCATGCTGCTATTCCGGTGCTGCCTCCTCCCCCTCCCTCCTGCACTGCCACCGCCTGCCCCTGCTGCTCCTGCTGCTGCTGCTGCTCCCGGGGCTGGTACTGCCGCCACCGCTGCTGCTGCCGCTGCCGCTGCTGCTCCTGCTGCTGCTCCTGCTGCTCCTGCTGCTGCTCCTGCTGCTGCTCCTGCTGCTCCTGCTGTGGTCAAGGAGTCAGCAGCATTGTTGCCCCTTCCTGTACTGCTGTTACTGCTGCTCTTGTCGCTGCTGCTGCCACTGCTGCTGCTGCCTTCATCGTCTTCGTCCTCGTCAGTAGCTTCATCGCTATAGTCCACAAGCAAGTCCTCCAAACTGTCCATCTCCTCATTGCCACTACCCATCCTTCCATCACTCCTCTCCTCTCCGCCCTCTGTCCCCTCCATAAACTTTGCCAGCTCTACCAAACGATTCGAGCAAGCACCAACCCCGGCAGCATCAGCAGCACCAGCACCAGCAGAACCAGCAGCATCAGCAGCATCAGCAGCAGAAGCAGCAGCAGCAGCATCACCCCCTGCAGCAGCAGCCACAGCAGCCAACTCTTTCTCCACTGCAGCGAAGGGGAATTGGGGGGGGCGGGAGGCAGGGAAGCCATGGGCAGCAGCAGTGGTGCGAGGGGGGGACGAGGTGGAAAGGGGAAGTGCGTTCAGGGACTAGGCGAGGGTGCGCTTGTCGTGGTCGGCACGGCACAGCAGCAGCGGCGCCATGCGCAGGTGAGAGAGAAGGCGGGGCAGCGGTCGGGGAAGGGGGTACCTACCGGCGCTTCAGTAACAGCGGCAGGGTACGGTGGGAGAGGGCATTCAAGCATGAAGTGTCACGTGCTCTTGCTGGCAATACGTGTCACAGCAGGCTCGTCGGCCAGTGTAAACGGGTCGTGGCCAGGCCAGATGAGGCACTTGAGCTTTAAGTCCCCCTGGGAGACGAGCTCGCTCAGCTCTGCCTCGCCCCACCCCTTCCACTGCGACTTGGCGATCGAGTGGTCGTCCTCCAGAAACGCCAGGAAATGGAGTGGTGTTGTCACCGGCACTGCGCGATGTCTCTGCGTTCCTTGCTGCATCGCTGTCTGCGCCCCCACCTGCCCGTCGCTGTCTGCGCCCCCACCTGCCCGTCACTGCTCTCTGCCCCCCTCCTCCACGCCTGCCGTCCCGCCAGCTTCCGCCTCGGGTCGAGCCCCTGCATCGTGCCGAGCCTCTGCCTTGGGCCGAGCCTCTGCTTCGTGCCGAGCCTCCGCGTCGAAGACGGTGAGCTGCGCGAAGCGGTTACCGAACTCCTTCCCGCGGCGCATCGGCTGCGGGACGTCGGCGTATCGGCGCATCGGCGCATCGTCACGAACGTCCCCTGCGCGAACGGCGCGGCGGGTCCGCCCATGCACAGGCGGATCTTCGCGCCGCGCGCAGATAGCGGCCGATCCAACGGCGCGCGATCATCAGGGTCAGTTCTCTCGCACGACGGGCTGCCTCGAAAAGTTTTTTGTGACCGCTAGATGTGGGGTGTGTCGACGTGGCTGCGGTCAACGGGCAGGCTGGGGGCTTTGGGTTGAGAGGCGATCCACGTGGCTGGTTGAGAGGCGTTCCACGTGGCTGGTTGAGAGACGAACCATAACGCGAGGATAGCAGACGCGGCGACAGCGAGAATTACATAGTGGATAAGTCATTGGGGAGGTAAGTGACGACTAAGGCTGGATAAGTCCATGATCAAAGCACCTGTGTGGATGGCTTCGAAGGAAAACCTTCACCGCGTAAAACGCGGCATTTGCTTGCATCGAAAATGCCCAGTCGTAGAATGCACTGGGGTATTTGGGCTTTAAAAGATCGCCTGCTGATCGCGGAAGTCCGTGTCGCCCACGGTTCGATAAGACCAACGCAAATGCGCGCTGCCCGCCTGGTGATTTTACTGCGAGAAGAAATAGCAGGCATTTGCATATGCGGTTAGGCCTAAGAAGCCCTGCCAGCAGGGAAATGTCAACCATTTGCTTCAGGGCCGTATTTACAACACTGAATTTCCCCGGGATCATCACCACTCGAACCTCCGGAACTCGAGAAGAATTTGCGAAAACGCTCGGGTGGGATGGGATCGTTCCGCTGCATTTCTCACTGTGACCCAAACAAGGGTTACCATTGTCGCAAACCTCAACTAAAAACGTCGCTTCGTGTCACGCGGACAGTAGTGAATCGAGAGCTCGGGCCGGGGGAAATGTTTGCGCTAGTTGCGTTTTTTCAGAACGGGATCGCCGTTTGAAATGATGTCAGCTGCAGGTGCGTTGTGTGTAGGAACGAACCCTAGGCAACCATCAACTTTTGTGAGCCTCAAGTGCCACGGGCTGTGCTTCATCGTGTCAAGAATTACAAGGGTCGTACTTCTGGACGACACAACGCCTGCATCAAGATCGAACCTTGCATATTGCTTGAATAAGGGCACTTCCGAAGTGACAATGTTTTCGTTGTGGGTTTCTGGTTCTGCTCAGTTCCCTGCATTTTACTATAGGTTCGGTACTTTGCAGCAATTCCAAGTACGGTACGAAATTCAAAAATTCCACTCTGGAGACGCCCTAGTGGTCATTAGGGGTGTAACAGAAAACGTACAGACCAAGCCCCACTTGCTTATCAGAACGATTTGCGTGCTACTTTAGACACTCCGTTAGTTTCCTAGAAATTGTCACTTGGCCCTCTATTTTGGGACAGGCCTTACAGGAGTTCAGCAGGGTTGATATTTGGCTGCTCCTGACTATATTCGTGACCGTATTGTGGAATGAGTGGTAGCTTGAAGCAACTTAGCGTTTCCACGAATTCGCTTATTTCCATGGTCGTCACTTTCGTCCGTCGAATTCGGCTTATGGTTAAACCAGCGAGCGCCAACTGTTAGCGTCTGTGACTTTTGACTCACTTCCAAGGCTACGTTCCACCGTCTCTTCTGTTTGTTCACGTAGGCCTATTAACACGCAGACCTGATTTTTTCATTGAATTTTCATCACGTCAAGCTCTTGATACCCATTGCTTGTATCGAATCCGAGTTTCTTTGTAGCGGTCGGTGTCGAAATCGTGAGGCACAGAGAAGCATGGGTCAGGTTGCATCGCGAGAGGAGCAGCTAAGGCACGCCGCGAAGCACGGCGGTACGGCGGCCATTCAAGAGCTCGTTTCCCGCGGAGTAAACGTCAATGTGAGATTTTTCCTTTAAGTTGTCAGTTCATGGCTGTTCACGAATTCCCAGGGCGTACTTTACCTTGTGAACGCCAATGTGAGTCTATAGGACGTCAGCGCCAGTTTTTCCAGCTTGCACCCCATTTCGCACTCCAGCTCGCACTCCAGCTCGCACTCCAGCTCGCACTCCAGCTCGCACTCCAGCTCGCACGCCTGTGATTGCAGCCAGTTGGTGCTGGCGCACTGTTCATCCCTTTCTCCCCCGACCTTCCCTTCCAACTCTCTCCCTCCGTATCCCCCCCCTCCCCCTCCCCCTCCCCCTCCCTTCCCCCGCCCGTTCTTCTCCTCACTTCCTCCAGTGCGTGGACGCCAGGGGTCGCACGCCTCTGATTGCAGCTTGCAGCCGGGTGGAGGGCTACGAGAGTGCGAAGCTGCTGCTGCAGATGGGGGCCGCCGTCAGAGTCTACTGCAAAGGTGCGCGGCAGGGCTCGCTGCGTTGGGCCCTAGTTTGGTGTGAGCAACACGAGTGAGGGTGTACTCCTTTGGGCCACCTGTGAACAGGGCTATGAGAGTGCGAAGCTGCTCCTGCAGATGGGGGCGGCCGTCAGAGTCTACTGCAAAGGTGCGTCTCAGAGTCCGTTGCCAATCTGGGTGGAGGGAGGGCTACGAGAGTGCGAAGCTGCTGCTGCAGACGGGGATGGTCGTGACTCGTCAGAGTCCACTGCAAAGGTGTGCGGCAGGGCATGCTTGCAGCGTCGTGGACGGGGTTCTAGTTGGGTGTGCCCAAAGTGAGTGAGGGTTTACTTTGGCTGGGGCACCTCATAAGAGGGCTATGAGAGCGCGGAGCTGCTGCTGCACATGGAGGCGGCCGTCACTGCCTATTGCAAAGGTGGGCGGCAGAGTCCATTGCCCGCGGTCGGGTGGAGGGCTATGAGGGTGTACTCTGGTGCTCTCCCTCACAGCAGGGCTATGAGTGCTATGAGGGCTATAACCTGCTCATCTCCTGCCTCGCCTGCCTCGTCTCGTTCTCTACCATCTCTCCCTATCCCTCCACACCCCCCCCCCCCCCTTCCCCAACCACCACCAGGTCCAGGAGGAGGCACGGCCATCCACTATGCGGCCCGCAAGCTGCTCGATGCCACGGTGAAACTACTGCTGGACCATGGAGGTGAGCTGGTAACCATGCAGTAACCATGTGGTTGTAACCGGCATACTATATTGATCAATACAGTGGTGAAACTGTTGCTGGATCGCGGAGGTGAGTTGACAGCCACGGGGTAAACACTTGCTGGTAACTAGACATTTGTAGCCACGAATTTGTAACCACTGGACATCAATGGAGTGGTGCAGAAGCTGCTCGGTTATGGAGGTGAAATTATGGCCTTGCTCAATCCATCTGCCTCCCCTGCGCTCTCCTCTCCTACTCTCTCTCTCCTCTCCTGCGCTCTCCTCTCCTGCGCTCTCCTCCCCTACGCTCTCCTCTCCTGCGCTCTCCTCTCCTGCGCTCTGCTCTCCTGCGCTCTCCTCTCCTGCGCTCTCCTCTCCTGCGCTCTCCTCCCCTGCGCTCTCCTCCCCTGCGCTCTCATCTCCTACTCTCTCTCTCCTCCCCTTCGCTCTCCTCTCCTGCGCTCTCCTCCCTTGCGCTCTCCTCTCCTGCGCTCTCCTCTCCTGCGCTCTGCTCCCTTGCGCTCTCCTCTCCTGCGCTCTCCTCTCCTGCGCTCTCCTCTCCTGCGCTCTCCTCCCCTGTCCTCTCCTCTCCTGCGCTCTGCTCCCCTGCGCTCTCCTCTCCTGCGCTCTCCTCCCCTGCGCTCTCCTCTCCTGCGCTCTCCTCTCCTGCGCTCTCCTCTCCTGTGCTCTCCTCCCCTGCGCTCTCCTCTCCTGCGCTCTCCTCCCCTGTGCTCTCCTCTCCTGCGCTCTCCTCCCCTGCGCTCTCCTCCCCTGCGCTCTCCTCTCCTGCGCTCTCCTCTTCTGCGCTCTCCTCCCCTGCGCTCTCCTCTCCTGCGCTCTCCTCCCCTGCGCTCTCCTCTCCTGCTCTCCTCTCCTACTCTCTCTCCCCTCTCCTGCTCCCCTCTCTCTCTTCTCCTGCTCTCCCCTTCCCCCCTCGCTGTTGCAGCGGATCCCCTTCTCCCCAACGATGATGGCAGGACTGCGTTGGATCTGGCCAGGGAGAGAAACGCCACTGCCGTCGTCAGGTTGATAGAGGTGGGTGTGAGGGAGAGTGGGGGGGATTTAACAATGGTGGTGGTGGTGGTGGTGGTGGTGGTGGTGGTGGTGGTGGCAGGCGCTTCTAAACTAGACTGTTATCTGTCAGCTATCTTGATCCTCTCTAGGAATGCAGCCCTACCTCCTCGTGTTCTCCCCACCTGAGCTGAGTGTGCTTGCTCGACGGCTACAGGTGTCAGCACTCCCTGCCTGCATCACACCCTGCCTGCAGCATTCCGTGATGGGCGATGCACGACAACAGACCCCTGTTAGCTCGTTTGGCACTTGTTGAAATCCAACCCTCCCTCAGCCTCACCCCCCATCCTCTCGCCTTTTCCCCGCCAATCCTCTTTCCCCACCAGAGCCGAGTGGCCTTGTTCGAGGGGGGTGTGCGGCAATAGACCCAATCAGCACCTCATGTGCCCTTGGGAATCTCACCCCTACCTTTGTCCACCTCCCCCCCCTCCCCCCTTCCCCTTTGTCCCCCACCCATCTTTCCCCCCCTGCCGGGTCCCCACCAGAGCCGAGTGGCCCTGGTCGAGGGCAATGCGTGGCAGCAGACCCTGTCAGCTCTTCAAGTGCCCTTGAAAATCTCTCCCCCTTTCCCCCCTACCGTTGCCCCCCCACCCATCTTTTCCCCCCTGCCGGGTCCCCACCAGAGCCGCGTGGCCCTGTTCGAGGGCTATGTGCGGCAGCAGACCCTGTCCGCCCCATCGATAGTCAAGGCATTCATTCCACAATGGGTGTACCGGAGAGTGTAAGTCGATGGGTGCGCAGGGGAGTGTAAGTCGATGGGTGCGCAGGGGAGTGTAAGTCGATGGGTGCGCAGGGGAGTGTAAGTCGATGGGTGCGCAGGGGAGTGTAAGTCGATGGGTGCGCAGGGGAGTGTAAGTCGATGGGTGCGCAGGGGAGTGTAAGTCGATGGGTGCGCAGGGGAGTGTAAGTCGATGGGTGCGCAGGGGAGTGTAAGTCGATGGGTGCGCAGGGGAGTGTAAGTCGATGGGTGCGCAGGGGAGTGTAAGTCGATGGGTGCGCAGGGGAGTGTAAGTCGATGGGTGCGCAGGGGAGTGTAAGTCGATGGGTGCGCAGGGGAGTGTAAGTCGATGGGTGCGCAGGGGAGTGTAAGTCGATGGGTGCGCAGGGGAGTGTAAGTCGATGGGTGCGCAGGGGATTGTAAGTCGATGGGTGCGCAGGGGAGTGTAAGTCGATGGGTGCGCAGGGGAGTGTAAGTCGATGGGTGCGCAGGGGAGTGTAAGTCGATGGGTGCGCAGGGGAGTGTAAGTCGATGGGTGCGCAGGGGAGTGTAAGTCGATGGGTGCGCAGGGGAGTGTAAGTCTGTTTCAATACTGCTTTTCTTCAGAGTCGTTTGTCTACATCATGTTCTCACTCCCTTGCCCCCGAAGCCACCTCTCTCACCCGTCGCCACCACTCCCTCCTCAGCTGGGTGGCAGTTGTTCCTGGGCCAACCACGAGCGACAGCCGCCAAACATTCCGCCTCACTCTCTATCCGTCCATGGCTGTAAGCTGTCCGTCCATGGCTGTAAGCTGTCCGTCCATGGCTGTAAGCTGTCCGTCCATGGCTGTAAGCTGTCCGTCCATGGCTGTAAGCTGTCCGTCCATGGCTGTAAGCTGTCCGTCCATGGCTGTAAGCTGTCCGTCCATGGCTGTAAGCTGTCCGTGAAAAGCAACGCTCGAATGAACAGTACATCCTTGCTGTGAGTTGTCCCTGGAATTTTTCCAGAGCTCGAAAGTGAGTGAAGACTTTTGGAACATTCCGCCTCACTCTTTATCCGTCCATGGCTGTAAGCGAATGCAACAGTGCGTCATGGCAGTAAGCGAATGCAACAGTGCGTCATGGCTGTAAGCGAATGCAACAGTGCGTCATGGCTGTAAGCGAATGCAACAGTGCGTCATGGCTGTAAGCGAATGCAACAGTGCGTCATGGCTGTAAACGAATGCAACAGTGCGTCATGGCTGTAAGCGAATGCAACAGTGCGTCATGGCTGTAAGCGAATGCAACAGTGCGTCATGGCTGTAAGCGAATGCAACAGTGCGTCATGGCTGTAAACGAATGCAACAGTGCGTCATGGCTGTAAGCGAATGCAACAGTGCGTCATGGCTGTAAGCGAATGCAACAGTGCGTCGTGGCTGTAAGCGAATGCAACAGTGCGTCATGGCTGTAAACGAATGCAACAGTGCGTCATGGCTGTAAGCGAATGCAACAGTGCGTCATGGCTGTAAGCGAATGCAACAGTGCGTCATGGCTGTAAGCGAATGCAACAGTGCGTCATGGCTGTAAACGAATGCAACAGTGCGTCATGGCTGTAAGCGAATGCAACAGTGCGTCGTGGCTGTAAGCGAATGCAACAGTGCGTCATGGCTGTAAACGAATGCAACAGTGCGTCATGGCTGTAAGCGAATGCAACAGCACATCAATTCAACAATCTTCCCCCTCCCCCCTATCTCTCCCCCCCTCCCTTCACATATCATCCGCTGCAGTTCGGGTCACCCTATTTCGACATTGCTCTGCACGTGTGCCGCATCTACATGACCAAGATGGACTCAGCCAACCCTGTACTCGTTATAGAGGACCCCATCCATGGTATGGCCTTTCTAGTGCTGCATTCAACTCCCATGTTAATTGGCATTTTTTCCCATATGGCTTATGTGTGCTGTCATCATGCTCGAATGAAGATTGCCCAGCTCAGCTCGTACTTCAGATTTGGAACATGCATCCTTGCGCGCTGTGTGTAAACAATGTATCCGTGCATGCTGTGTGCAACATACATAATGTGCGTACTGTAAATGTGCTTGTATGCATGCATGTTTGTGCACCCATGTGCATGCACACGTGTCTCCTGTGTTGCCCTTCCTAAACCCATCTGCATGCATCTATGTATGTGTGCTGCACGTGTGCTTATCGCAGAGGAGAAGGGGAAGTGGAAGTTTGTGCGAGATACAGAAGCACCGGATCCTTCGCAGATCTTCAGACTGCATGACGCATGCAGGGGCATGGCACGGGTGAGAATTGGATCTATGAGGCACCTCAAAAGATCGGGACATGGCGGGGGCATGGCGGGGGCATGGCGAGGGCATGGTGAGGGCATGGTGAGGGCATGGTGAGGGCATGGTGAGGGCATGGTGAGGGCATGGTGAGGGCATGACAGGTGCCTCAAACTTCCACAGGGGCATAGTGATCTGTATATATTGACACACGCATGCACACATGCATGCTGACACGCATGCACACACAGCACACACGCATGCAAACACAGCACACACGCATGCACACACAGCACACACGCATGCACACAGACATGCGCAACCACACACTTTCACCTAGTCACACTTGCATTTCGTCTTCGCTCACCTGCATAACACGTTTATCCTCATCTCCCTTCCTCCCCACACACCCAATTCGGAATCTCGATTCCAAGGCTTTAAGTAACCTCACATTTTCACACACTCCCCCCTCTGCCCTGCACAGCCTGGCACCCACTTAACCAACCAGCATTCAACAAGTCAGCATCACACCCCATCCCTCCACGCCCCACCACCACAGGCACCAGCAGCCCAGCGCACAGTGAGTCGATCGCACACTGCCCCTTCGTACACACCACAACCACCACCACCGCCCCAGACCCATCCCATGTACCCCCAACCACCTCCTCCTCCTTCTGCCACTTACTCTGCTGCCTGGAGTCCCTACTACAACCAGCAGCAGGCACAGCAGCAGCAGCAGGCATGGCAGCAGGCACAGCAGCACCAACAGCAGCAGGCTTGTCAGCAGGCACAGCAGCAGCAGCAGGCATGGCAGCAGGCACAGCAGCAGCAACAGCAGCAGGCTTGTCAGCAGGCACAGCAGCAGCAGCAGGCTTGGCAGCAGCAGCAGCAGCAGGGGGGGTTAGGAGCAGCAGGAACAGGATCAGTGGCAGCGGGCGCAGGGCAGGGTTGTCAGCAGGCAGGAGCCGATTCCAGCGGGCCGGTGAACTTGCACGCGTGGCAGGCTGACGTGGACGAGGACACGGCATTCCAGTTGGCACTCTCTGAGTCGATGCACTCTGCCAGCACTGCTGATTCTGGTCGTGCTGCTGCTTCCAGTGCTGCTGCTGCCATTTCTCAGGGCATAGGCAGGGAGGAGGATGGTGCAGATGGTTTCATTCTCACCCGATCCTCTTCTGAGCCTCAGTCTAGGTCCGGCCGCTCCCTTTCCTCCTCTTCTTCCACTGCCACAGACGCAGTCGCTGCTTCGCACCGATCCTCCAGGTCTGTCTCGGAAACTGCTGACAGGCACCCCTTTGCTCCACCGGCTGCTACCTCTTCTTCCTCTGCGGCAGCGGGTACGTCACTAGCACCTGGCACTGCGCGTGCGGCTCCTGTTCCTCAGGGCGATGCTGTTCCACGTGCTGCTGCGGTGCCTCCTCCAGGTGCTTCTGGCTCTGGTGCAGTGGGGGTGGATGGGCCCGGAGTGCGAGAGGACATTCTGAACCAGTTCTCGTCTGTGGCGCCGGCAATCAACCGAGCAGCAGCAGCGGTATCATCGCTCTTTGCATCAGGATCACCATCTGCACCGTTGGTGGATGCTCCCTCCACCACTGCAGCACCGCTTTACTCAACATCAGCAAGAGCATCGGGACGAGACCCGGGACCAGCACCAGCAGCAGCAGCAGCTCCAGCTTTCCCAGCCAGAGCAGCGGTGGCTGCAGAAGCAATCGCAACAGCAGCAGGGGCGTTCACATCAGCAACAGCCGCTGCAGCAGCCACAGCATGGCAAAGAACAACGGGCCACCGCGCTCCCTTCTTCGACCCTCCTCTCATCCAATTCTCCCCACCCAGCAGCCCCCGCCTGAACCCGCACATCTCACCGAACCCCCCACCGAACCCCGAGGTCCAACCACCCAGTGGCCGCCCTCACACACCTGCCACATATGTCTCCCCTGGTCCAGCATCTGTAGCAGAGCTACATCCGAGCTACAACCCTGACAGGGTGCGAACAGAACTCGCCCGGGCTCAGTCGAGCCGAGGGCGAGGAGTTGTGGGAGCAAGCGGAGCAGCAGGAGGAGCAGAGGCAGGAGCAGGAGCAAGAGCAGGAGCAATAGCAGGAGCAGAAGCAGGAGCAGAAGCAACCGCAGAGGCAGCAGGAGGGGGGTCTAGAGAGGGTCAGTGTGTGATATGCTGGGATTCGGTGGCTCAGGCAGTGTGTGTGCCGTGTGGACACCTGGCGGGGTGTGTCGAGTGTCTCACGGAGGTTAAAGCCAAGGGGTGGGGCTGCCCTGTTTGCAGAGCTTCCATTCGAGAGGTGGTTAAAATCTTCCACGTCTAGTTTTGGGTACTGGATCTGTGTTGTATTGTATGCAGGCCCTAAGATTCGTTTTGGGACACGTTGATTCTGTTAACGTAGAAACGAAGGATTACTAGAGGTGGAAACCTAGAACAAATACTAGTTGGTTGTACTCATTAGAAGCATACCTCAGTCTAGCCTATAACTTCTACATAGATAATATGTATAAGTTGACACACCCCCTAGGCTAGACAAGGGGTGAAACTAAACAAGAAGCAAACAGCTCAGGGCGGCACTACTAGTCCAACCACTGAGGCAGGGGTCTGGAGACCAGTCAGCAAGAATACAACCAAAACTAAAGCAAGCCAGGGTGGCACTACTAGTCCAGCCACTGGAGGTAAGGCCACAAGGCCAGTCTGACAAGCATATATAATAGAGAGTACACAATCAGGATCCTAACAGGGGAGCAGCTACAGGAACAAGACCAAGCTGTACACAGTGCCGCTGATGATCTTTAGGCGCAAGCGCCTTAGTAAAGATATCAGCTGTGTTGGCACCTGAGGCCAAGTGAACTACGCGGGCCTGGCGGCGCTGCTGTAGCTCGCGCAGGAGGAAGTACCGCAGCTGGATAGGCTTCGCTCTGCCCTCAAGCCGAGGCTCCTGACACAGGAGTATCATGGCCCTGTTGTCAGCGTACAGGACCGGGGCAGAGCTAGGCCGCTCACCTAAGTCTGTGAGCAAGAAGGTCAGCCAGCGGAGCTCCTGTGCCGCCATGGCACCAGCGTAGATCTCAGCCTCACAGCTAGACTGAGCCACAGACGACGAGCGAGTGGATCTCCAAGAGATAGCACCCGAACCAAGGCTGAAACAGTAGCCCTGCGACGACCTGAGCGTCTCAGCGTCGTCTGCCCAAGAAGCTGTCAGAAACCCAGCCACTAACCACTGGGTTAAAAGGGCTTGTTGAATAGCGGGTAAGTGCGCCCATAGCCCCCCAGGCTCTGCACCTGTGGCCCTTCCCCGAGGATCTCAAGGGCAACCCCAGCGGGTCATTCAACACCCCCCCCCCCCGCTGGGATAGGTGGAAGACACGAGCGCCTCTGCAGCGCTGGCACCGGGAGTTGAACCCAAAACCTTTGGCTCTGATACCATGTCAGAAACCCAGCCACTAACCACTGGGTTAAAAGGGCTTGTTGAATAGCGGGTAAGTGCGCCCATAGCCCCCCAGGCTCTGCACCTGTGGCCCTTCCCCGAGGATCTCAAGGGCAACCCCAGCGGGTCATTCAACAGAAGCGTCTGTGTGCCCAGTAAGGACCACTGGCCTGCGTCCTCCTAGCACTAACCCCATGCCTGATGTACTAGCAAGATAACGCAAAACCCTCTTAGCGGCAGACCAGTGCTGAGGTCGGTGTCTGCCTGTAGCCACAAAGCGAGCCAGGATGCTGAGAGGGTATGCGAGATCTGGGCGAGTGCAAGTCATCAGGTACATGAGGCAACCCACCAGCTCTGCGTAGGGGCCACTGGGCTCTACTGGCTCCTCAGGAACGGGAGCAGAGAGCCCATGGTCTACGGGTAGAGGTGTGGGCTGTGCGGAGGAGAACTGAAGACCGAACCTCTGAAGGACCTGACGCACCAAGTGTGACTGGGTCAGAGTGATGGTGCGTGCTGCTCTGTCCCTAGAGATCTGCAGGCCAAGATAGCGACGCAGCTCTCCAAGGTCAGTGCAGGTGTGTCTCTTCAGCAGCTCAGCCTTCACAGAGGCCAGTGCGTCCCTGTCAGGAGTAGCGAAGACCAGGTCGTCTACGTAGACAAGGATGTAGAACGGAGTCTGGCCGGAACGCACAAACAGTGAAGGGTCAGTGTGAGAGTACGACCCCGTTACACCAATTTCCCCTTTCCATATTTCCTTTCTATTTCATTCCTCTTTTTATCCTCATTCATTTGGTCTTTATCTTATCTCATTTGGTTTCCTATTCCTCATTTTCCAGCATCCTTTGGTTTATCCTGTTATTATAATTATATCACCGACCAGGCTCGGGATGTACTGGCGCGCTATATCTAGCGTAATCCTGCCGTAATCCCTTAAAGCCAATAGCCTCGCGTGGCTATACGCATGGTGATTCTATTTCTAGAAGGGTCTATTCCCTTTGGATAGGATAACCTGGTTACCTGATGTAATCTGGAAGTATAAAAGCCCTTGTACTGATTGATAGTGCAACATTGAGCAAACCTTTCCTCGACACATTCGATCCTGTGACACTTGGTAATCAGAGCCAAGGTTTCAGCTCAACGCTTAACCGCTGGGCCCCCAGGAGCACGCGGAGGATGGAGTCGAAACTTCAATTCCTGTAAGTACAATGCACTTTCATTTAAGTTTCGACTTACCTCTCGCAGTTGCACTTGGGGTCCCCTTCGAAGGCGAGATGCCTCGCCAACCGTTCGATGGACTGCATCGACGGTGCCGATTTTTCGCGGGGGCAAACGGCCTCGACCTGGCGAGCGCGTCAGTTCCGGCGGAACACTCCCTGCGACATTCGGAGAAGTTCGCAGTTCGCGACAACGATTGGAGTTGCGCGGAACTCTGCGGAGGTTCGACCGACGACATCCGTCCGATGGAGATTCGACGCTTCAGATCAACCGAGGCGAAAACGAAATCCTGCTGAGAGAGTTCGAGTTTCAGCGCGAATGGGAGCGGGACCTCGCAAGCCGCGAAGTTCTTCGGGACGTCCGATCGTTCGACAGCCGACATCGACGACTGAGAATTGCTGCAGGAAACGAACCAACCCGTGCACCGAAAGCTGCTGAACGCGACTCAAGAGGCTCCTCAGATCGCTTGGATTTTGGACCGTCGGATCGACGTCTACTGCAACGGACGAGATGGAGCGCGACTTCTGCACAAAGGGAGATTGACGCGCAGAACAAGAAATCAGCCGCTTTCGACACCGCTGACATCATCTGGACAACCAGATTCGAATTTCTTCATTCGGTGACGAATTTGGCGCGCAAATCATCTGCGGAGTCAGAAATCTGCCAGAGTATTACCTACTTGGTAAAATCTGCAAGCAGAAAAATGACAGGAGAACGTGGATTGTCGGATCGGTGCGGAATCAACGGCACGAATGCAGCAGAGACTACACTATGGGAAATCATCATCATGGAGACAACATTCGTGACCAGCGACAGCACAATCGACGCATCTTCTGACTGATGTCGATAACGATCGAGTTATTTTGACGAAGTCATCTTCGTTAAAAATGGATCGACATCAACACATCGGATCTTCACCCAAGAAAAACAATGAAGCTGCGTGAAGACATGTTCTCCATCCATGAGATACTTTATCTCATAAATTGAATCGACAAGCTATGGGATTGCAGAGAAGTAGCCGTTTTCTCTTGCAATATTCTGGATATCAAGTTGCTGCGAAGTAGCAGATTTCGCACGCAACGACGACGCAGTGAACCCGTCTCGTCAAGGCCAGCGAGACACTATTTCGTAACAGGAGCTGATCGATTCGTCTTCATCAAGAATCTCAGCCATCCGAAGTGATTGATTGGAGCAGTCTCAACATCGACCTCACGAGGCGACACACCAATCATGCGTCGCGATTCCATGTGTTAATGACCTGTGTGGAAGAAAATTCCGTGCACGTCACGATGCTTGACAGATTGAGGAGTAATTAACCTCTAATCCGGCAAGTACTCGCTCACTAGCGACCCTACGGCACATGCATTGGAGGCGATTCTACCAGAAGCCGAAGCGTTACAAGCATCAGCGTAACTTCGACGATGCAGGAGAACGTCAAGCAACACGAGGTGTCAACAAATGAGGGAGATGCGGACTACTACAACACGATCACGCGCTCTACCGACCGTACATCGGAGGCACGGATGAGCATACCAGGAATTGCTACCCGTGGATACTTTGAGGGGAGAAGCAAATTTCTCTTCACACCCTCAAATGAAACAATCACCGGCAGCAATGGAGCAACACATGTGTACCAATGTGCACGTGTTCCTGGTAGTTACGCCTGTTACACCCATCAGGAACACTCTACTGGGAAGGGGGAGTTGATGGATTCTCCTTCAACCGGTACGAGTTAAGAGAATTCTCTGCAGCAGCTGCCGCCGTCGCCGTCGTCGCTACCGCCGCCGCCGCCGCAGCAGAAGACTCGACACAACAGTCACAACCAAATCCTGATGGATGATTCTCCGCTCAATGGAGATAATGCTGGATTATATTCCAGTGGATCGTAAAGTCCCGGCCAGGCACAGTACTATGATTTCCAGCTAGTGGGAAGGAGATACCACTATGCGAGGGAACATCATGGCAATGCCATATACCCTCAAGAGCAGAAGATATTTGCTCTTATGAGGATGGGAGGACCGCGGTACTCTACCGGTATACAAGTCCTCATGGCCTATGGCTTTCCTTAAAGTCATAAAACCTGCGTCGCAACCAATCCATCACCAGCACCAACTCCACGGAAGCAGATAGGCGTAAAATGGAGCGCCGACGCCACTCCGGACAGTGGACTCCGCGTATCTCCAACAACACCCCTGTTTGCCGAAATGGAGCAGACTTCAACACTGATGCTGGGTAGCTGAGACGTCTTCGACATCAACGCCACTTCAAGGACAGTAACAACAAGAGACAACGCATGATGGCACCAGAAGACCTATCCCAATATGTGCACCCAGACACCGATGCCTACCGATGGCCTCCGTGCTAAACTGGAGGTGCATAAGGTCATACTGGATTGGCTGTCAGCAATACTCATTTGGAAATGGGAGAGGATTATTTGGGAATAACCCCTAATGTTCCCAGATATCCTAACCCATCACCATGGGATATCTACGCAGCTGAGATTCCTTGCTTGAGCAACCACCGAGGGAAACTACTTGGCGCCGATTCTGGAAGTTACCAGCTCCGCGTTTATGGTTCCAACCCCTCGCATGGTTCTGAACACAAGGGATACGCTGAGCAGCACTTCGCATGCGCTGTTGTACTCAAGGCAGTGTGAGTAGCAGACCGTGTGGTGGACAGGGTTACTACTAGTGATTCTGCCCTCCATTCCCGCAGCACTACGATGCCGAGTGGGTACGACTTGCGACAACACTACGGCATGGACCAGCATTCGACAGAAGCTGCATGTAACGGATACAACACTGCTACAGAAGCAGTACTACGACACAACTGC